CTCTCTGCAGTAGAGTTTGAACGCTTGGCAGTACAGCTCAAGAAAGGACCTCAGTGTCTGGTACTTTATCTTGCCAGGTGATCTTCAGAATCTTCCTAAGACAATTCAAATGGAAGTGATTCAGTTTCCTGGCATGGTATTTGTGCACTATCCAGGTTTCATAGGCATACAACAATGAGCTCAGCACAGTGGTTCTGTAGACCTATAGTTTGGTAGTCAGTCTAACACCTCTTCTCTCCTGAACTTTCCTTCAGAGCCTCCTAAACACTGAACTAGCTCTTGCAATGTATGTATCAACCTCATCATCTATGTGGACATCCCTAGAAAGTATACCACCAAGTAAATGAACTTATCCAAAGCATTCAAAATTTCTCTATTTGCCGCAACCAATGGTTCCATGTAAGGATGGTGTGGTGCTGGCTGGTAAAGAACCTCTGTTTTCTTGGTGCTGACCGTTAGGTCAAAATTAGAACCAGCAAAGAAAATCAACCCATTCTCTGTTGCATCTCAGCCTCAGAGGCTGCATTGAGTGTAAAATTATCTGTGAAACTATGCACCAACTCTCCCTCCACATTAGTCTTGGCTTGTAGCCTTTTCAAGTTAAATGATTTACCATCAGTGCAGCAGCTGACTTTGCTGCTGTTTTCATATCATTGAAAGTGTCTGACAGCATCACTGAAAACATGCTAAAAGCATTTCTGCTTCCCTCCACTGTAACTAGGAAAGTGCAAGAGCGTCATCCATTATCCAGAACCCGGTCAAGCATGCCATCATGAAATTGACGTACAATACTGATGAACTTCTCCAGGCAACCAAATTTTGCCATGATCTCATATAAGCCCTCATGGCTGACTATCAAAGTCCTCAGTCAGATCAATGAATGTTGTGTACAGAGCTCTGCTCTGCTCCTGGCATTTCTCCTTGAGTTGCTGAGCAGCACCACCATTCCTCAGCCCTTTATGAAGCCATCAGGTAGATAAGCTGGCTCTCAGGTAGATAAGCATCTTCCAGGTGAAGGATCAATGTATTAAGGAGGACTCTGGCAAGAATCTTCCCAGCAATAGCTAATGTGATTGTCAGAGAACAAACTATTTCCATTTCCTTTATAGAGATTGGCAACAGAGGCATCCTTGATCTCCTGGGGGATAACTTCTTGCCATACAACATGGAAGAGTTCAATCAGCTTTTGTATCAGCAACGAACCTCCTGTCTTATAAATCTTGGCTGGAATAGAATCTGAATCAGGTGCTTTGCTGCACAAGAGAAGCTTAATGGCATTCAAAAACTTTTCTTCAATTGGAAGTTTGGCTAGAGAGGGATTAACTTCAACCTACAGTATACAGTCAATGGCTTCAGCACTGGTTGATGGTAGTCTGTGGAGAACACTATGGAAGTTTTCAGCCCCTCTCTCCAGATCATGTCTTTATCACTAATCAGTGTGGCTCCATCAACACAACAGTTGAGATGCATCATAGGTCTTTGCTCCATAAATAACCTTCAGGGCATCACAAAATCACTTTACATTGTTACTATCAGTGTAAAATTGAATTTCATCTGCCTTCTTACTGAACCAAGAATTATACATCTCTCTAAGTTTCCCTTGCACTTTACATTTGATGGAATTAAATGCTGCCTTCTTAGAGATGGACAAACTATGCTGCTAGTAAACCCTGTAGAATTCTTGTTTTTTGTTTAATAGCTTCTGAATTTCCCCCATCATTTTCATCAAACCAATCTCCATGTTTGCCAGTGTTTCAGCCCAGATGAGTAAATGTGGCACTATGCACCAAATGTCTGGAAGCTGCCTGCTCCTTTTCTGCTGTACTGCTGTGTTAGCTCAGTTTTCCCTCCAAGTTAGTAACAAACTGTTCATGCTGAGAGAAATGCTCTAATCTGTTGGCATGGAGTCTTCTGGTAGTCATCTTGCTTTGGGGCTGCTACTTTTGTTGAATTCAAATGTTTAGGTTGAAGAGGGTAAGTTATGACTGGTCTAACACTGCTGCAAAGGCCTTTGGGACTCTCACATCCTGTCTAGCTCTTTCCTTACATTGTTGCTTTTGTTATTGTTATTCGTCCTTTGTTTTCAAAGAGAACCAATGACATCACAGATAATGGGTAATGGCTTTTGCATGAATTGGACTTAAATGAGGCAGAGTCATGCAAAATCATCAGTCTCACTCTCTCTTCCAGAGTCATTGAAGTCCATTGGCAGGACAAAAGTCATGATGATGGACAATGGCCCAGGATGCAGTGGATGATATCGGAATCTTTGATGTCTGAGCAAACTTTAAGTACTCCATGGTTCCTGTTTAAAACACCTTCATGGCTATGGATAAAATTGTTCTCATATGCCAATTCCAGCAGTGGAAGTCTTCACATTCTTGGAGCAGAGATCCCCCTAACTCACCAGTGGGTTTGAGGCCCCTCAGTGACACAGTCTATTAGATGCCAATGCTTGCTGCAAGGGGGCATACATGAAGTTTTATCATACTTAGGTAAATGGAAGGCATGCCGGTGATAAGAGGGTCCTAAGACACACGTCTTCAGCAGTAAGTGACCAGTGCTGCTGCTATTTCTGACACCATTCCTCCCAATGACTCCCTGCCATGTCAGATAATCTGTACTTATTCTGGCATTAAAGTCACTCAGAGTTAGAAGCTTCTCCTCTTTTGGCAAATCAATTATGAGGGTCTCCCAGGTCTCACAAAATTTTTCTTTTGACTTCATCAGGGTTTGTCATGGTGGGAGCACAGGCACTGATGACGGTGGAGTGGTGCTTTCCTGCAAGTGGCAATCATATTGTCATGAGCCTGGTGCTCACTCCTTTTAGTAGGCATACAAGCTTATTGACTAGATTAGTTTTGGTTACAAAACTTACATCAGTTTCATAGCGCTCCTCATCACTGTGACCACTCCAGCTCTGACTTCAGCAAGCTGGCTTTCCTTTGCCATACTTGTTTCACTCAGGGCTGCTTTTGGATGAGATACCTGCTGAAGTCTTTTGCAACAAGAGCCATTTGTCTTTCAGGTCTACTGGATTTCTTGTTGTCCATAGGCATGTACACATTCCATTACCAATGGTGAGTGGAATTATCATTGCAAAAACATTTTGTACATTTTTTTTTGTTTTGACTGCAGGATAAGATCCCTACCTGCCATGCCAAGTAGATCTGGGTTAGGTTCAGTGAAGCAGACAATTTTAGGGCCCCTTTTCTAGCCCCTTTCTCACACCAGGAAGTGAGCAGTGCTATCCTTGAAAAAAGGCTGCTCAGACACCCAAGGAGCTGCCCAATCCCATTGCTGTTTCAGGACAGTGAGAAGATGACCCTATGGTCTGGGCCACCTGTGCAGAGTTGTGACCACAGCTCTCAGTGTATCCACACCTGCTGCTTTGCCACTTGCTCATCACCACAGGACTTTGATGTGGGTAAAGGTAGAAAAATGGTATAGCTGATGTCTTTTGACTCGCATATAAATTGTAGTTAAGTGAGATAAGGTTGTGAGAAGTCATCAGCTTCACTCTCTCTTCCAGAATCATCAAAGTCGAGTGGCAAGACAAAAGTCAAGATGAATGGCAATAGCTCAGGATGCAGTGGATGCCCTTGGTGTCTCTGATGTCTGACCAAACTCTAAGCGCTCCACAGAACCTGCTTCAGCTGCCTTCATGGCCCATTGAAACAAAGTGTTCACATCCACCCATTCTGCTGGGGAAAATCTTGACATGCTTGGAGCAGACAATGCCCCCCTCCATTCACTGATGGGTTTGAGGCCCATCAGCTACTCTTCACCTGATTTAGCCCATTTACCAAAATGACCACCGCATGTGCTACAGCTTCTTCGAGCCACAGGTGAGAGTTGGATGGCAGGTGGACACCAAAGGTGGATGGGTAGCCCTTAAAAGTGTTCAGCAGCTTTCCTGCCAAAGGTGCAAGTACTCCCTAAACACCCATACATCCCAGAGAAGAGGGGAAGTCAATTTCCCACAGTCACACAGGTATTAATAATTGTTCACGTGCATATAACAACAACCGATTCCAAAGCCTACAAAATTACTTTCCTCCCAACAGTGCCATGATGGAGATTTTATGATCCTAATCATGCAGTCCTGGAAACTGATATCAAAAGGGAAGGAGAAAGACCTTGTGCATGGCCACACAATAAGTATAACAGGGCTTCAAAGCACAGGGCAGGTGACTCTAAATCCAGCATGCTTTTCTACTTCTGACACTTACTAGCTATGTGACAATGGACAAGATCCTTAACTTTTCTGAGCCTCTGAGATTGCAGGTTTTCCATCTACATTGGTAGGTAGAGTTTTCTCAATAAGAATTCTCTATACCATTGAAATTACAAATCCACACACACACACACACACACACACACACACACACACTCAAAAACAGTACTGACCTTACAGGTCTGCTGCAAAGACCAAATGAGAATGGAGGTAAAAGGCTTTATAAGCATTAAAAGTCTCCATAAGTACCAGTTCTAGTTTTTATTCATCTCATTCTTCTAACCTTTTTCAAAGCAGTTCAGGCAGGAATGATCCTGGAATGAGGTATTGTCTCACTATTATTCTTTTAAAGGTAATGTTCTTGGGACTAATGCACATGTTAGGTAGAGAAAAATAACTGTTCTTCATAACTGAAAAAAGGCACTGGGATACTGGGATGCCAGCTCATCTTCCTTCAGCTGACTGCAGCATCCTCAGTATAAATCCTGAAGTATACAGGATTATGGGGATGATCCATGCCTTTTCCTGTTCCCACATTATATTTGGAGAACTTTTCATCCGATGTAGTTTGAAGATTATGAGAGTTAGGTATGGCAACATTTATTAAAATCATTATCTTTGCATTTTTAGAGATCAAGGCTGTGTTCAGGCTTATATCAACAACAGTTTTATTTGTGGTAATGCCTCAGTTGTGACGTAGTTTATTTATGAAATTATCAAGGCTATACTGAGTCTCAATTTTTAGTTAGGAATTAGGTAGCCGGAGCTTGCATTGGCAGCACATACGCTAAAATGGGAATGATACAGAGCAGGCTAGCATGGTCCTTGCCCAAGGATTACATGCAAATTCATGAAGCATTCCATATTTTTGCAAATGAAATTAAATTGTGGAAATAAAAAATGTCTAAAATTGGTTGGGAAGATTTTTTACATTTTCAGAAACTAAAAGCCAAAATTGGGAAATACTTTGAAGATATCTATTAATGCCTATATCGTCATAGTGAATATGATAAATACTCAAGGAACCAATCATGTGTCTCATTACACAGAACAGTGGCAAAGTTTCTAAGAATGACATCGGTAAACATTTTATATTAATCCCTTTTTGTTAACACATGGACTTCAGCCAGTATGCTGACATGTTTTGTATATTAGCACCTAGTCATGGAAACTCAACTGGTATAGATTCAGTCTAAATTTAGGTGGGAAATGCTTTTGGAACTACTAACTATCAAAAAAAACCCGATTCATCTGGGTGTAGGAGGGATTCGTTTCAGCCTTAGATAAAGGTAAATCAAACTGTGAAATATTTTTATACTGGATGACAGCTATGGAGAAAGTATTCTTCTTTCCTAATAAGGAAACAAGCATTTGCTTTTCTCAAATTGTCTTAAATGATAAAAGTTACAGTGTTCTAAGCTATGCCTGTTGTGTATTATTAAAGAATAAGGAACTGGCTTAGATAAATTACAATACCTAGTCAAGTTCTAATGCCTAGGTAGTAATGGATCCTATAGTATTCAGAGATGATGAGTTGAAACACATACAATTGCTGATTTCATTTATGACTTTTTAAAAAACTACTGAGGGATTTGTAAATGTTTCCCATCTATCCTTTTATTTAGGTAAGGGTAAAGTAAAACAGTTTATGTATCAGCTCTGTGTACATTGGTGTTTATATAGCAGAAAATAAAATCTTCTAATGCACTTTTTTTGCAAGACAATTGGGATCAAGTGACAGAGTCACACAGTAAGTATTATGTGTCTGAGGCTGGATTTGAACTCAGGTCCTCCTGACTCCAGGACCAGTGCTCTATCCACTGTACCATCTAGCTGGCCCCCTTATGTACTTTTAAGAAAAGGAATTAGGTAGCTAGATGGTACATTGAAGTGAAAAGAGTACGGGACTTGGAGTCAGGAAGAGCTGAGTTCAAATCCTGCCTCAGAAAATATATTAGCTATGTGACTCTGACTGAGTTTTAGACTGTGTCCTCATCTGTAAAATGGAGATCATAACAGCTACCTCAAAGGAATGTGGTGAGGACCTCATGAGATAACATATACAGAGGGCTTTGCAAACCATAAAGCACAAACCATAGAAATACAAGCTACCATTTGTCATGTCAAGTGAACAAGCACATATTAATCACCTACTAAATGCCAGACACTGAGCTAGAGATACAAAAAAAGGGTAAAAGTCTCTTCTCTCAAAGAACTCCTAGTCTAATGGGGAAAATGGCTATGTACAAACAAAATGAATTGGAAATAATTTTATAGGGAAGGCACTAGCTTTAAGGGAGAATGTCTCTTCAAGTATTCAGTAGATGCTAAATTTTAGTAGCCTAAATATACCAGTTGCATTTACTACTGTTTCCTTATATAACCCACATCAATCAGTAAGCCTAGTCTATTCAGAGATGATTTTTTTCCATGATTTCTGATAGCATAGTATTGCTATCATCATTATTTCCACTGAATGGTGTCTTAAGCACAAGGGAAATCTTCTTCCCTGGGGAGTCAGCCTTTGCCCTGGGGACTAAGGAATGGAAAACATTGTGGCAGCCTGAGAGCAGAGTACTCGATGTGAGAAACTCAAATCAATTCAGTCTAATTCATCAAGTACTTATTAAGCACCTACTTTTTGCTAGGCTTCCATGCACAGCATGTGATACAAAGGCAAAAAGGGAAAATATTCCTTGTTCTCAAGGCACTGAGGCCTGAATGGTGGCTCTCAAGCTAAACCTTTAATAAAGTGATGGCATTCCAAGGACACTATCTGGATGACAAGAAAGAAGAGTGGACAGCCTGAGCAAAGGCTGGAGACGAGGGTTGTATAGAGAGAACAAGAAAGAAGTCAGTCGAGTTTGAAGTTGTAAGGCGGCTTCCTGAATCTCAGCCATAAAGCCAGAGCCACAGTATTTGAAAGTCATAGGGAAACCTGGCATCCAGGAGCCTCAGCAGTTGGACTAAAGGCCAACCCATACAGGACCAGAATCCCCATTGTAACATCCTAGACAAGAGGCAGAAGCAGCAGCTCAGGCCACCTGGTGTCAGTGAAGAGATCGGTGTAGCTTAAGCAGGGCGCTTGTTCCTGGCAACTATGAGAAAACTCAATTAACACTCCCACTGTGCGCTGCGTTGGCTTTGTCTCACCCAGAAGAAGCAGTGTTGAGGAGCCAGGGAAGCAATCGGAAAAAGAAATCAATGGATTTGGCAGGGGACAGGAGAGCTGTCCATGGTGGTCACGAGCAGCTGGACACTCTTTGTACATCTGTGCAATGCAGCCCCCAAAAGACCTATCAACTGACTGAGGAGCCCTGGCACCCAACCACATATTTGGGCTTGGACTTGAATCCTGACAATCCCAGTGCCCTGTGATGAGAGCCGTGGTCATGGTCCTTGTAGGCTTTCTAAACATTCTGTATCCAATTTAAATACACATTTTCTTCCTCAACTCCATAGCACGTGAGCAGCCAAGCAACTATAAAAAGTGTCAAGTTAAACTGGGGCGCCAAATAAACTGTCCTTTCTCAGGAGAGGAAGGATTTTCTCTCCTATACCCATTCCCCAAAGGAGGTGGATTTTTGGAAGACACCTCATTTCTCATCCTAGGCAGGCTTATGGTCTTAAGTGGGAATCTGAACTTCCAGAAATCAAGGCCCTAAACTCAGGTACCACTTCTCCCATAAAGCCTTCCCTGATCACCCTCTTCACTACCACCTTTCATTTTTTTCTCATACCAATTTTCCTTGTATTTAATTTATTTGTAATAGAACAATGGACTTGTAGTCAGGAAGACCTGAGTTTCAATCATCTCAAGACACTGATGGGCCATGAAACAGTAATAAAAGCTAATAATCATATAGTAACTTGAGGTTTCCAAAGCACTTTCAAATGTTTTTCTATTTGGACCTAACAATAACCTAGGAGGTAGGTATTATTATTATCCCTATTTAACAGATGAGGAAATTGAGGCAGATGGAAGTTAAAAGAATTGCCCATGGTCACAGAGCTAGAAAGTGTCTGAGGCCACATTTGAATGAAGGTCCTCCTGACTTCAAGTTCAGTGGTTCAGCCGCTATGACACCCTGCTGCCTCCAATGTGACCTGGGAAAAGTTATTTAAATTCCATCAGCCTGTTTCCTCACCTCTACTGTAGGCACAATTCTAATACTGCCCTCAAAAGAGTAATGTGAGAAGCTAATGAAATAATGTACATAAAGGACTTTGCAAATTTTAAAGCTCCTTCTAAAGTTCAGTGTTACTATTAGCTATTTTTGCCCCAGTAGAAAGCATGTTTCTTGAATTCAGAATTTGTTTTTAAATTCAATTCAGCAAGTGTTTATTAAGTATCTACTTTGTGTTAGGTACTATGCTAGGTTCTGGAGCCACAGTCAAAAATGAAATAGACTTTGCTCTCAAGGAGTTCTCCTTCTACTGAAGGAAAACTAAATGAACACAAGCAAGCATACATTCATACGAAGAAAAGAGAAAATATAGAATCACTCCAAAGGTATTTCATGGTGAAGAGGCGGGAGGTACTAACAGCTGAGGGATTCAGAAAAGGTCTCTTATAAGAAGTGAGACTTGAGCTGAGCTTTGAAGGGAGCTAGGGGTTCCAAAAGGCAGGGGTAAGGAGAGAGGGCATACCAGGTGTAGAGGACAGTGTGGATAAATGCACAGAGAAAGGACATAAAATGATACATACAAGGAACAGCAATAAAGCCACCTTGATTTTTAATAAAGAGTACATGAATAATAGATAATCAAGGTAACTCATGGCACAGCTTCCCTTCTTCCCAATCTCTAGACTAACAAAAACTGAGTCCAATCTCTAGGCCACTATTCCTTTAAGTTTAATTTGCTCTGAGACTCTCCATAAATGGCCCTGGGAAATCTCCAAACACGCTTGTGCCTTTATTTTTATGAAAGTATATAAAGGGCCTCTAACTCCCTTACATGTATTTAAGGGTAACACATGCATATTTGACAGAGGACAGTTCCTATTCATCCCACAGGAAAAGGCAGAAAGCTCCAAGGATTCACAGAATCTCATAAATAGATCCAGAAAGCACTCACAGAGCTCATACATTCCCTTTTGCAAGGGAGCTCAAAAGGGAGTTCCCAATTCACAGCACTCTGACATTCCAATGAAATCCATCTCTCCTGAGTAGTCCAACACAATCCTTCCTAGATACATAGTGCTACCTTGTGGTTTAAATGGTTCCCCCAGAAGGCACATACTTTGAGGCTGCTGGACATGCTACTTTCTTCCTTTTGGATCTACACTGTCTTTATAATTCAGGGTAAGGGGTGGCAAGTGCCAGACTCCTTACTCTTCCAAGCTATACCACTAATTTAATGCTTAATGTTCCTGTAGGTACTGAGGCCACTGGAATCTTCTTCTCTCCAAGAGGCATGTCCCTAAGTATGCTGATTTGTTTGCATATTTCATCCATTAGAATTGAGGGCAGGGAATGCCTTTGCTTTTTCTTTGTATAGCTTGTGCTTTGAACAGTATGTGGCATATAGAATGTGCTTAATAAATGTGTGTTGACTGACTAAGAAGTTGAATTCTGGAACTCTAAAACCTGCAATTAATCTTGAGCCAATCCCAAGACTGGGGCCACCCCAAGATATCTCTTGTTTGTTAGAAGGCTGGATTCTGGGGTCATTCTGACCATACAATTTAGATTCCCCAACTCTACTACACCAGAGAGTGGAGTTAAGGAACATTATCCCTGAATGTTCCTCCTGGGCCATGTGCTTTTTCTACTGCCTTGCTGCCCCCAGCTGCTGCCATCTCCCAGGCTAGCAAAGGCCAAGGTCAGGAACTTTCCTCTCAGGCCCTGAAGTGGGGCACACGTGCC